GGAGGACTGTACATCTGTTTCATTCCTGCAATCAACAAACAAACGAAAGTAGAGCTGATTGTTAAAGGTTTGTAGGTGATCTTCTTGAATACTGGCTGTCAGGAAGCAAATAAATCATTGCTGCCTTCCAAAGACTCTACTGGTAGTGGGCAGTACACCAGCTGAAATTACTCCTCTGGAGTTGGTCATAACCGTTATACCAGTAGAGGTAGTACAGGACATAATAGGAGACAAAGGACTTGAGAAATTCAACAAAGCTGACGTTGGCTTCTCATTTGAATTTCCCATTCCGCCTTAAACGGTGCAGAAGTATGTAGAATGTAGCCACTACAACATTTAAGGTGGAACAGGAAGTGGCAGAAGGGGTCATTTTTGGCCAGGCTAGCAAAGCCAGTATTAGAAACCAGTACTGACAGATTTATGGGTTTTAGCATATGTACTGACTTAACCACATTTCAGACCAGACTATTTCTTGAAGGCATGACAATACAGGGCAGCCAATCAGAACACCGGTCATTTACATATCAGTCTTGGAGGTACAGTAAAAATGCAGTGCCCTTCAGGAGAAGAATGAAAAGGAACCTGTATAAGAGCCCTTTGAACACAGCAGATCGTGATTGGTGTTGTGGAAGTGGTTCTCTGTCTCTCTGATGGGTTTAACTCTGTCTGTGTTCCACAGAGAGACCAGTTGCACCATCACTTCAGTGGAGAAACGGGGACGTCAAAACAGCGCCAGCTTTATCAGGGAGAGAAGAGGTGAGGAACAGGGACGCTGGAAGAAAACCAGCGAACCTTGTGCTTTTCTCTGCAGCTCTGTTGGGACTGACCCTGCTGTATGTCTGACTTTTCACATACTGAACTGATGTTATGATGTAGGTATTATAATATGGATATTTTACATGGATATTGTGTGTGTGTGTGTGTGTGTGTGTGTGTGTGTGTGTATATATATATATATACACACACACACACACGCACACCAATCAGGCACACTCATTGTCCATTTTATCATTCTCAGCACTAACACACCACCACCCCATCAGTGTTACTGCAGTACTGAGAATGATCTGCCACCCAAATAGTACCTGCTCTGTGAGGGTCCATGGGGGTCCTGACCACTGAAGAACAGGGTAAAACGGGCTAACAAAGTATGCAGAGAAACAGATGGACTACAGTCTGTAATTGTAGAACTACAAAATGCACCTATATAGTAAGTGGAGCTGATAAAATGGAAAATGAATGTAGAAACAAGGAGGTGGTCATAATGTTATGCCTGATCAGTGTGTGTGTATATATGTATGTATGTATATATGTATATGTATAAATGACAAGTGATGATACTGATAATAATAATTAAAAAAAATATTTTGATAAAATGATTCAGCTTTTAAAGTTCTGAATTGTGAATCCCTGTCTCTGCTCTTATTTACACTGTAATTCTTTACTGGTTTTTATTTTAGAACTATTTATTTGGCTGAACTTCCCACATAAGCCTCTAATCTGATGTAACCCCACACTCTTAAAGACTGATTCTATATAAAACCATAAACACTCAGAGAAATATCTACATGCTTTAATGGTTCTTCAGACTGATGGAGAATGTGTTCTTTTTGAAAATGGTTCTATGTAGCAGATACTATTCTGGTCCTGGAGATCTACTACTGTGTAAAGTTTAACTCCAACACAAATCTAGCACACGTGATCCAGGAAATTAAGGCCTCCAGGATCAGGACTAGACACCCCTGGTCAAGGTGGTTGACTATCTAATTTAAAATGTGAGTCCAGGGGTCCCCATTCCTGTCTTTTGCCCAGAGCTCCACAATCTCTAAATCTGCCTTGGATCACTGGCCACTTTATTAGAAACACCCACCTTGTACTTCCACTCACTGGCCACTTTATTAGAAACACCAACCTCGTGCTTCCACTCACTGGCCACTTTATTAGAAACCCCTACCCTGTGCTTCCACTCGCTGGCCACTTTATTAGAAACGCCACCCCTGTATTTTCACTCACTGGCCATTTTATTAGAAACACCAACCTTGTATTTCCACTCACTGGCCACTTTATTAGAAATACCTACCTCAAGTAAGGTTTATTATTATTGTTGATTGTGACATTATTTTCAGTGAAACACGATGGACTGCAGTTCCAAATCACAGCCCACATATTTCTAAACCCCCCCACCCCCCTTTTTTGTAACATCACTGCAACCATATGTTTTTTTATGTTATGGTTTTTAACTTAAGTGTAATTCTGGTTTCTGTGAACCGTTCTGATCTTTTTCAGCTCTAATTCTCAGGTTTTCAGTGTCGGCGCTTAAGAAAAGAAAATTGCAATAAAAAAGCTGATTTTAGTTTTCTGTGGGCTGCTATGCTTTGTTTGTATAAACTGGTGGGCCTTGGGGTGGAAAAGGTTGAGGACCCCTGCATGTGCTGTCCATTGTATTTTCATTGTACACAATTCATTCTACATCCACTAGATGGCGACATTTAATTTCAGTGTACAGCAGGAGCGGTCAAACTCGGCCATTTCCAACAATCAGACTTCTAATCAGTGCTTTTTGACAGCATGGACACACTTGGACATGGTCCAGTAATAGCACAGTTATCCAGAGATAATTTCATATTAAAGCTTTGGCAAACCTGAAGACACATAAAGGAGGAACTAGTAAAAAATGTTGATATATCAGTGTTTATTTGGAAGCTTGTTGTCTGATCAGATGTAAACAAATGGTAACCAATCAGCAAGTAAAGCTCACTTCCATTTCACCACCCTGTATTTGACCAGTAGAAAGTTTTTAACACTGAATACTGTTAACATGAGCGCTAAACTCATCATGAAGGGGGTCAGTTAGAAACCCCACCCTGCATGAATGGATTATAAAATACTATTTAGGCCAAAAGTGCATCATAAAACAACACTTTAGTCCAGTGTGTGATCACAAAAACTATCATAAAACAACGTCTCAGACATCAGGCAGTGTATCAGAGGTGGACGCCTGGTTTCTGTCACCACCACTGTGAACAATTCTGACTCTCAAACAGAAAAGTTTACACCAAACTGCTCTGAATGACTCGGTTTACATCCTAATGACTGATTTATGCATAAAATTTGGAAGAAATTCTCCTTTAATGCTACTGAGAAAGGAAAATCCTGAGAATTCAACTTTGCTTTTATTTTTAATAACACTTATTTTTAATAATCAGCCTTAATTAACTGTTATCTTTACCTTAAAATGATGATTATTTGAATTATCTCTGTAGAACTGATGTTAAAACCAGCATTATTCCCTATAGAACTGCAGTAGAACTTCTCAGTACATCTATCAGCACAGGAACTGAAGTTTACAGTGTTTCAGGCTCTGTTCTTCTCTTTTTGATCCTTTGGGTCTAAAAAATTTGAAGGCAGCTGTTTTGCTGATGCTTCTGTTTTAATTTCACACATAAGTGAATTAAGACTAAAAGAAATGCTAACAGGCTCACTTTCATTTGAAAATGAAGTACAATATTCTCGGTGCATTACGTTTAATTGGACAGTGTTATAATATTTAAACAATGTCTTTGTTTTTGACATGCTTTGGTAGGCTACAAGTGTTTACAGTAGCAGTAACGCTAACTAATCAGCACCCAGTAGCTGTAATGCTAATCAATCAGCGCTCAGTAGCAGTAAGGCTAACTAATCAGCACTCAGTAGCAGTAATGCTAACCAATCAGCACTCAGTAGCAGTAATGCTAACCAATCAGAACTCAGTAGCAGTAATGCTAACCAATCAGCACCCAGTAGCAGCAATGCTAACTAATAAGAACTCAGTACCAGTAATGCTAACCAATCATAACTCAGTAGAAGTAATGCTAACAAATCAGAACTCAGTAGCAGCAATGCTAACCAATCAGAGCTCAGTAGTGGTAATGCTAACCAATCAGCACCCAGTAGCAGTAATGCTAACTAATCAGAACTCAGTAGCAGTAATGCTAACCAATCAGCACCCAGCAAGAAGTGGCCAGGCTCCTCATAAACCGGCTGTGCTCTGGTTTGAACTGTGGTCTGGTAAGAACTCAAACTCCCAGACCTCCTCAGAGATCACATGACACAAACAGCGCTGTTTGTGCTTTTATGCGCAGTGAATGCGCAAACTGGTGGTTAATGTGGGCTGAGAAGCGCTGATACAGCGACAGCTGGACAGCTGAGCTGAAATTGTAAACAGAGTGACCTCCAACATTACAAACATGATGAACTGCTCTTATCCGCCTGTGTTTCACACGCAGCTCCTCTGTTTGATCGCGGGGCTAAAGATCCACTCGTTTCTCCACTTACACTACCAGATCATCCGCGCAGTCAGTCGATTCTGAAGGAGCTCCTGACCTGGAAATGGCTTCAGAGTGTGAAAATTTGCCGCAAGGGGCGAATCGGGCTTAAAGACCCCTTTACACTGTGATATCAACCCCTCAGGAGCCACAAAATACCACTACAGTCTATAGGACACCGCCAGAAACCACTGGTGATTTTGTCAGTAGGGATGAAGCCAGCGGTTCATAGTTAAGTATCGTGTGAATAGCTGGTGTAATTATAAAGAAAGCAACAGCAATAATCACAAAACAAAACATTCAGATTATGTTTTACTTTGCATGTGAAGGAGTACAATACAGGCTCGCAACACAAAACACCAACAAGCCATTACAGACTCGTTCACGCTACCTGCACGTATAAAACAGAACACCTGAGAACAACAGGGCGAATTAGTGTAGGCGGCCTGTAAACCAGGAGCTGGCGCCGCGTCAGCTCTGAGGACGTGCTTTTCAAAAAGCGTCTAAAAATTCAAATCATCTTTGATTTCATCAACTTTGACTTCAACAGATTTTAACGTATATCCACGTTAATCAAAGAAAAACACGTGCGGAAAAGACCGATTTGCTCGTTTGAATTCGAAGCTCCGCCCCATGTACACGCCGCTTAATGGTTTAGGAGTTTAGACTCCTTTAATACAGGTGAGCTGGGTGGGTCTGTTCCGCGTGTAGGTGCTTTATAAAAGGAGGAGTGCTCTAAAAGTCTCCTCATTCATTCTTTCATTCATTCATTCTTTCTTTCTTTCGCTCGCGAGCTGCTTCACAGAAACGACGCCATGACACGGTTAAGACTCAGTCAGCGGTATGTACACATTTACTATTACTTAGCTGTAAAATCTGCCCAGCAACCCAAAAATCATTCTGATTGGTGAGATTTGGGCCAATAGGAAAATAGATCTGTGTATTTCAGCTTCTCTGCGTTTGTTAGACTTGATCAGGCTCCTTAAAGCGATGCCTTTATTGATCATACTGTTTAAAACGATATATTAACATCAGTATTAATATGTGTGCAACCAGAAACTCCAGTAAGCTAAGACAAACGTGAACGTGATAGAGTCCAGGGGCCGCATTACAGAAACGTCTTAAGCCTGAAATCTTAAGTTACCATGACAACTTAAGTACGCACTGAATTTATGACAGAAGCTTTTACAGAATAAATGTCCCTAACTAATCTTATCCTAACTCCAGATAAGAAAACAGTATGACAGAAGGATCCTAACTAGACCAAATCTCCTAAATACTGTCCCAACTGTGTCCTAACTCCTGTTTAACCGTCTGTTTCTAGCGTTTCTAGGCAGCTGTGTCAGGCAGCATAGTTCACTACTGACATAATGAGGCTACATTTATTTACACTGTTAAACGCTGATTTCACTGAGATGGTTTTCTTTTCTAACTCTGCGTTTTAAAAATCTCAGACACTGCAGACTCCGTCACTCTCATTACCTTCGTGTGTTACTGTTGATGATAAAGTATTACAGTGATGGTGGTGAGTTTTGAGGAGACAGAGCTGAACGTGTCTTTATAATAGGCGGAATAACGTTAAAAGCGTTTGGCTAAAGCGTTTGGATTAATGAACCTGGAGAGCAGCGACGCTCTGATAAACAGCACGAAACGCGGTCACAATAGTCATAACTTCAAGCTTATCACGCTTTAGTTTTGTTTCACCTTTACATCAGTAACGGCAGCTAACGTTAGCTGTCTGGCTAACCAACGTTAATACATAACGTTACCTAGATGCCGCGGTGGGTTCAGCCAGGCACGTCAACGGCGCCGCCATTTTGGGGCGGTCAACATCGCTGCTGGACTGCATTCAGTACCATTACAGAGCGGCAGTTTGAGAAAGATATTGTCCAAAATTACACTATTTCAAGAATATTGATCTCAGAAAGTGGGATAGGCTTATATAACGGAGGAAACGCAGCGATCCACGCTCATGTTTGTGTGGTGTTTATGTGTAGATATGGCCGTGTGGTTGGTGAAGCACAGAGAACCTGTTAATGTGATTTGTTTTTCTCTGGTTTTATATGAAGCTTATTTCATTTAATAGTCTATTCAGGGGATCTTAACTCTATGTAGTAGTTATTTAATTACAGTGATGGTTAAAGCTGTGTAGCTGGGTAAGTTACAGCATTCCTTAATCCGTGTAGATATCCATAATAGATTAACTTTAGCACCTTCTTACACAAACCTGACGTTAGTTTCTTACTTGCCAGCTTCTTGTTCAAATTTTCCCGTTCCACCTGAAATGGTGCAGCTTCAGGCACCAGAAAGTGGCTGCTGCACCAATTAAGGTGGAACGTGAAAACTCGAACAAGAAGCTGGCGAATAGGAAGCCGACTTTAGCTTCGTCCTTCTTACTGTGTTTTGGGGGTTTATTTTATTTTTGTGTGTATTAAGATTAGAAGTGATTCACACACTGATAGATTTGCTGATGTGTGTGAGTTTGTGTTTTTTACTCGCGCTAAAAAAGTTCCTGAGTTGGAATAAGATACTGTAAGATAAAATCCCTAAATGAAGGGAAGATTTGCTTCTGTACTACGAATTTGTGAAAAATCTTATTTTGACCTGTCAAATCTTAAGTTCAGACAAAAAGATAGGAAGTTTCTGTAATGTGGCCCCAGAGCAATATTGTACAATAGAGTGATAATAATCTAAAATATCATGGAACAAAAGCTGTGCAAACGCATGTTTTTATTCAGTGGAATATTTTAATACACATGTATTTCAAGCCCAAACCTTATATGCAACATCTAATATATTGTTTTACATCTAATCAACATCTTGTGAACAGTCTCTGGTCACTTATCTTGCCGAAGCCAGTTTATCACTCAAAGTTCTCTGGTTTAGCTCGACGAACACAGTGTTGCAGGTTTGTGACTGGACAGACATTTAGATCTAGAGGTGGGCGATATGGCAAAATATGATATTGTGATACTTCAAGAAATTGTCATGGTACACGATGTGTCACACTGTTAATTTTTTCAGACATCACAATGCTACATTTAAAAAAAAAATACTGTTAAACTGTAAATACAATGATTTTTATTCAATATTTGGCATAGTGTTGCACTAAATGCAGTTAAACAGGATTAATTTTGCTCATTTGATATTTGGGGGAAAAAAAGGATTTTCATGCAGCATTTGCAGTTTTGAAGAATATGAGCCATCAGAATGTCTTTCTCCAGCATTTTATTCTGTATTTTCTTGATGTAGATGCTGGTTCTCCTGTGTCTTACTGCTGCTGATAGACAAAGGTGAAAACTTAATTTACCTCAATATAATATGCAGCACATGAAAAAAATAAAAGCCAGGCTGTGCTTACATCTGCTTTTATTGTGTTTCAGTGTCTATTTCAGTGTCCCTGCAGGGCATTGAAGCTGGTGTAGGAAAGCCCGTCATCTTACCATGTTCAAACAGTGATGAGGCACTGCAGGATAAAGTCACTGTGTTCTGGAGATTCAGAGACAGCAGGACTGTGTACGACATCATCGACAGCGAAGTGTTGTTTGATGAACAGGACACATCATTCAGACACAGAGTTGAAAGTTTTCCAGCTGAGTGGACAAAGGGAAACTTCTCCATCACACTCAGCAGTGTCCAGAAGGCTGATGGAGGACTGTACACCTGCTTCATTCCTGCTATCAACAAACAAACGAAAGTACAGCTGATTGTTCAAGGTTTGTAGAAAGTCTCCTTAAATCCTGTTTGGTTTGATTTGAAAATAAAACCATCAAAGGGCCTATATTACAAAACATGAATTTTTTAAAAATAATAATTTGATGGACTGTATAAACACTTATGCTTTTGGCTACAGCCTTAGATCAGAACACTGGTGTTGTACAGATGTTGTACTTTTATAATGGTGAATATTCTATGAAACTGAAAATCTTATTTCCAAAGGGCTGGTGTGGCTGCAGCTTTCCATTCCAAATAAGCAGCACACTTAATTCAGACTAATGTAAGGCACATTTTCAGCCACTCCTTATTTTTGCTGTATTGAAAAATGTATCGAATCAAGAAGCAGCTGTATCGTATCACAATTAATTCTGTAAATTGTCGCACCGCACACATGTACATTCGGCCTACATCAGTTACGCCTTCCCATTCTGAAGGGACGTGGAGTGTTGATCCTGCAGACAGTCTGTAGCACAGAGTGCAAGATTTAACGTTGTGCTGTTTCTGGCTGTCAGGAAGCAAATAAATCATTGCTGTCTTCCAAAGACTCTACTGGTAGTGGGCAGTACACCAGCTGAAATTACTCCTCTGGAGTTGGTCATAACCGTTATACCAGTAGAGGACATAATAGGAGACAAAGGACTTGAGAAATTCAACAAAGTTGCCAGTATTAGAAGCCAGTATTGACAGATTTATGGTTTTTAGCATATGTACTGACTTAACCACATTTCAGACCAGACTATTTCTTGAAGGCATGACAATACAGGGCAGCCAATCAGAACACCGGTCATTTACATATCAGTCTTGGAGGTGCAATAAAAATGCAGTGCCCTTCAGGAGAAGAATGAAAAGGAACCTGTATATGAGCCCTTTGAACACAGCAGATCGTGATTTGTGTTGTGGAAGTGGTTCTTTCTCTCTGATGGGTTTAACTCTGTCTGTGTTCCACAGAGAGACCAGTTGCACAAATGCTTCAGCAGAGAAACGGGGACGTCAAACCAGCGCCAGCTTTATCAGGGAGAGATGAGTTGAGGAACAGGGACGCTGGAAGAAAACCAGAGAACCTTGTGCTTTTCTCTGCAGCTCTGTTGGGACTGACCCTGCTGTATGTCTGACTTTTCACATACTGAACTGATGTTATGATGTAGGTATTATAATATAGATATTTTATACAGATTATTGTGTGTGTGTGTGTGTGTGTGTGTGTGTGTGTGTGTATATACATATATATAATGTATGTGTATGTATATAATGTATATGTGTGTGTGTATATCAGGCAAGCTCATTGTCCATTTTATAGTAACACATCAGTGTTACTGCAGTACTGAGAATGATCTGCCACTCAAATAGTACCTGCTCTGTCAGGGTCCATAGGGGTCCTGACTACTGTAGAACAGGGTAAAAGGGGGCTAACAAAGTATCAGAGAAACAGATGGACTACAGTCTGTAACTGTAGAGCTACAAAGTGCACCTATATAGTAAGTGGAGCTGATAAAATGGAAAATGAATGTAGAAACAAGGAGGTGGTCATAATGTTATGCCTGATCAGTGTGTGTGTGTGTGTGTGTGTGTGTGTGTGTATGTATGTATGTATGTATGTATGTATATGTATAAATATAGTAGTGACCCTAACTGACCTAAGAGAGGGGATGTGTTCTATGATGTAAGTGAGATGTTTAAATGAATGTGGCTAAGGTGTTTGTAAACTTATGACTTCCACTGTATATGAAGAATTTTTTGGCACAGTAGAATTTGCTCATTGTATAATAAATGTTTTTGTATTGTTTTTGTAAAATGAATCTGCACTGGATGATACTGATAATAATTAAAAAAATATTTTGATAAAATGATTCAGCTTTTAAAGTTCTGAATTGTGAATCCCTGTCTCTGCTCTTATTTACACTGTAATTCTTTACTGGTTTTTATTTTAGAACTATTTATTTGACTGAACTTCCCACATAAGCCTCTAATCTGATGTAACCCCACACTTAAAAAAGACTGATTCTATATAAAACCATAAACACTCAGAGAAATATCTACACGCTTTAATGGTTCTTCAGACTGATGGAGAATGTGTTCTTTTTGAAAATGGTTCTATGTAGCAGATACTGTTCTGGTCCTGGAGATCTACCACTGTGTAAAGTTTAACTCCAACACAAATCTAGCACACGTGATCCAGGAAATTAAGGCCTCCAGGATCAGGACTAGACACCCCTGGTCAAGGTGGTTGACTAATTTAAAAATGTCCAGGGGTCCCCATTCCTGTCTTTTGCCCAGAGCTCCACAATCTCTAAATCTGCCTTGGATCACTGGCCACTTTATTAGAAACACCCACCTTGTGCTTCCACTCACTGGCCACTTTATTAGAAACACCAACCCTGTATTTCCACTCACTGGCCACTTTATTAGAAGCATCCACCTTGTGCTTCCACTCACTGGACACTTTATTAGAAACACCTACCTCAAGTAAGGTTTATTATTCTTGTTGATTGTGACATTATTTTCAGTGAAACACGATGGACTGTAGTTCCAAATCACAGCCCACATATTTCTAAACCCCCCCACCCCCCTTTTTTGTAACATCACTGCAACCATATGTTTTTTTTAAGTTATGCTTTTTAACATAACTGTAATTCCGGTTTCTGTTGTAAGTATTTTGCAGTTAAAATGAAGACTAAATGATCTGATCTACTGAGTAACACGCCAAGCAAGCTTGTTTCTTATGCTTTCTGGAGGTTTTCATGATAAGGGAGCAGGTTTCTCTTCTCCCGTACCTGATTACAGAGTCTAAACCTTGATCCATTCCTCATAGTTGTGGAATTGACTTATGAAATATTTATGTCTGTAAGCGCTGTGGAAAAGTGATCATTTGTTATTTTTCAAATGAAATTATTTATGCAGTGCAGCAAACAAATTCCAAATAACACATTTATAAAGAATAACAAAATAATGGTGGTGTAAATGGTCAGACTACATTTAGTTATCCTGACTTAAAGGAGGAGTATACATATATAGATAGATAGATAGATAGATAGATATGTCACTATATGTCGGAAGGAAACATTGTATCTCCATTTGTGCCGTTTTTCAGTTTTACCTGTTGTCCTTTACATTCTGTGTAAATTTCATGGTGAATGGACTTAAAGAAACGACCCAAAATGATGAAGGATGGATGAGTTACGATCGTGTAATATTATTGGTCGGTTGAAAAAGGGGGCGGGGTCTCAGGTGCGGTCTTACTGCGCTACTTTCAAATACTTGGTCCTTCATTCTTTCACTCTCGAGCTGCACAGAAGCCACGCGATGACCAGATCAGGACTCAGTGAAGGGTCAGTACACATTTACTAATACACACATATCTTTATAGTGAAGAACTGTCTGGTTGAGCTGTCTGGATTCCTTTATACTTGAATCAGCTCCATCTTTCCTCGCTTCTCCATTAATTCTATATTCACTATAATCACAGATTAGAGACCTTTTTCTCTGTAAATCCTGGAAAACAAACACTATTTATAGCAGCTGTAAACTCGAATAACAGAAGCTAATACATCGTTTTACCTGACTCTCTCTCTCTCTCTCTCTCTCCGCTCACAAACCATGTCTCTTCATTTCGTTCTTATCAGACTGTGTTGAAGCCCGTAATCTTTTACTGTGTAGCTCGTCTTTATTCTGTCACTTCAGAGAAATGTTACGTCTGATACGTGAGTCGCGCGAGGATTCTCTGTCCATTGGCTGCTCCAGGTAAAACTGTCCGGTTAGACGGCTCTGTTCTTATTTCCTGCCCCCTCCAGTGCAGGCCGCTCTCACGGACTGTGAAGGCGAGGCGCAGTTTATTGTAATAAGACTCTAATACGGTGTTTTATGGTCACTTAAACGGTCTAAACGGTCTTTAAAGCGCTCCGTGTCTTGTCAGTGACGTACAGGCGTGCTGGGTAACGGGGAGCTCGCACATAGACCACATGAGGTACGATGAGGGGCGGGGTTTGTTTCAAACGAGCGAATCAGAGCTAAGAGGAACCTGAAAAAGGATTTTTATTGGTAGCTGTGTTTCAAATTCAAAGTTGCTTTACTGTCAGACTGTTTTCAGTCCGACATTGACAGATCATATAAAATTTAACTCAAAGTGGAGCATACTTTGTAGAGCTAAAAACAAATATAAATAAATGAATGTGTAAGAAGTGTACTATAGAGAGGACAAATTGATTTAATTTCAGTTATGTGCGTTGCTTTTATTTATTTTACTCTTTACAGATGGTGACAGGGGCATTGGCCACCCCCATTGAAAAAGTGAGACAGTCAGCATCAGTAAAGCAGATACCACAAAAAGTTGTTCTACTTTGTGTGAACGGTTCTACTGAGAACATGTGCCATCAGCTCATAACCCTGAATGTAGTCAATCAGCCACAACATGTTTGTTGTCTGAAGTTTGCTTCTTTCCTTTTGCACTGGAGCTGATTGGTTGGCATTACTGCTACTGAGTGCTGATTGATTGGCATTACTGTTACTGAGTGCTGATTGGATAGCATTACTGCTGCTGAGTGCTGATTGATTGGCATTACTGCTACTCAGTGCTGATTTGTTGCCATTACTGCTACTCAGTGTTGATTGATTTGCATTACTTCTACTGAGTGCTGATTGATTGACATTACTGCTACTGAGTGCTGATTGATTAGCATTACTTCTACTGAGTGCTGATTGATTGACATTACTGCTACTCAGTGCTGACTGGTTAGCATTACTGCTACTGAGCGCTGATTGATTGGCATTACTGCTACTGAGCGCTGATTGGTTGGCATTACTGCTACTGAGCGCTGATTGCTTGGCATTACTGCTACTGAGCACTGATTGGTTGGCATTACTGCTACTGAGTGCTGATTGATTAGCATTACTGCCGCTGAGTGCTGATTGATTAGCATAACTTCTACTCAGTGCTGATTGATTGGCATTACTGTTACTCAGTGCTGATTGATTGGCATTACTGCTACTCATCGCTGATTGCTTGGCATTACTGCTACTGAGCGCTGATTGGTTGGCATCACTGGTACTCAGTGCTAATTGATTGGCATTAACGCTACTCATCGCTGATTGCTTGGCATTACTGCTACTGATTGCTGATTGATTGGCATCACTGCTACTGAGCGCTGATTGATTGGCATTACTGCTACTGAGCGCTGATTGATTGGCATCACTGCTACTGAGCGCTGATTGATTGGCATTACTGCTACTGAGCGCTGATTGATTGGCATTACTGCTACTGATTGCTGATTGATTGGCATCACTGCTACTGAGCGCTGATTGATTGGCATTACTGCTACTGAGCATTGATTTATTGGCATTACTGCTACTGATTGCTGATTGATTGGCATCACTGCTACTGAGCGCTGATTGATTGGCATTACTGCTACTGAGCATTGATTTATTGGCATTACTGCTACTGAGTGCTGAGTGGTTGGCATTACTGCTAATGAGCGCTGAATGGTTAGCATTACTGCTACTGAGCGCTGATTGGTTAGCATTACTGCTACTAAGCGCTGATTGGTTGGCACTGGTCTGCCTCCGACTGACGTATTAATGTACCCAGTTTTCCAAGAGTTTGGAGTGAATTGTTGCTCAGTTCTCAAACCGAAGACGAAAGAGAAGATGTGTAAAATGTCAGTTAATGTGTTAAAGACCTCATTACCAAACATTTCCAAAAGAAAAGTTGTAGAACCAAACATTTTGCTGAGTGAGTTAGCAGCCAACCAACGCTAGAGTAGCCTGGCAACACGGTACCAACCAAAAACACTGTTTGTACCCCACGAGTTAGCATGGTGCCTCACACAGTGTTGATATAATCTCTAATAGACTTGCTTATATGGTTTCTGACACTGTATAAACTGTTATCTATAACCATGAATACAGTTATTACTGTTTTTAGCTGTGTGACATGGCTTTTGTTCTTTAGTCCACAACAAGACACAAAACATGTCTTGTCTGATTGACTGCATTTTCAGGTAATGCAGGAAAGACCAGTCAGAATGTCCCACCATGATTATTATTCAGTGTTTTGTTGATGTTTCTACAGATGCTGGTTGTCCTGTGTGTTCCTGCTGCTGATAGACAAAGGTGAGAACTTGATGTACCTCAATATACCAACATTTCTAAACACCTAAATAAGCAATATGTAGTACATGGAAAACAAAAGCCAGGCTGTGCTCACATCTGCCTTAA